CAACAAGAAGCCGGCAGCTACACATATATTGATGATTATTGAAGAAGAGAAAAATGAGCGTTCAGGTTATTTCACTGAGAAAGTCAGAGCTTACATGGCGTCTGCCCATTTCAGCATCTTTACTGAGAATTTTCTCATGTTTTTTCTTGCCAGTAACAGACAATTCAAGTTACTAATACATAATCACATTTTGGGGCTTTTAACATAGATCCTTTCAGTTGGTTTTAGCACATTTTAGCATGTGAGAAATAGATCGTAAAACATCATGTCACAATATTAAGACTTCTATTTGGTCCCAGCAGTTTACACCCAGCCAAAGACAGAATGAGTGCTGACGGAACCGGGGACCCACCTCCGTATGTCATACCCGGTAAGTCAATTAGTATCATTGTTCATTTTGAATGACTCATGATAATGGAATAAGACTAAAAACAGGCAAGCCGGTGTGTGTGTAACAAATGTGAAATCCTGAAATAGATATATTTCAGAAATATTAATGTTCTACCTGTATTTTTTTTCACTTGGCATTAACAGTAGAGGGTGCCAAGGGCTCCAACGTCAAGGTCTACCATGTGCACACTCCATTCACCCCGCCAAGCTCCACTATGGGAGATTCTCGAATCCAGATGGAATCAGCCAGACCTGGTGAGCCTGTTTCCTGTCATTAATCTTTGGAAAACTGTTGGTTGTAAAAGTCATGTGGAAAGAATTAATGTCTAGATTTTACTGTATACTATATTGGAGCGTTGCTAATGTCATTATATTGCTTTTATACAACATTTAAATGAACCTAATATGTGCAGGGTTTATGGAAGCTTGTTTCCGTCATGGATTAAAAATAAATAAATAAAATCTATATATTTACATAAAATCTGACTTTCATTCTTAGAATTGCACGTTTATAACACAATTCAAACTTTTTTTCTCACAGTTCCGAGTTCATATCTTGTACGTCTATGTCTCGCAATTCTGATTTTTCCCCCCTGAGTTTTATTTTGAGTGTACATCTCATATTTCTAACTTTTTTTCCTCTGAATTCTGAGTTCGTATCTCGCAATTTTGCCTTTTTTCCCCCCTCATATTTTTTGGCTTAAATTGCTTTTAAGGGGCACAACATTTTGTGAATGAAAGGATCTGTCTGGAACAACTGACAATTCTGAGAAACAAATGCTGTAAAAGTCACGTGGAAAGAATTACCCATGTTTTGCTTGATAATGTCTAGATTTTACTGTATACTATATTGGAGCGTTGCTAATGTCATTATATTGCTTTTATACAACATTTAAATGAACCTAATATGTGCAGGGTTTATGGAAGCTTGTTTCCGTCATGGATTAAAAATAAATAAATAAAATCTATATATTTACATAAAATCTGACTTTCATTCTTAGAATTGCACGTTTATAACACAATTCAAACTTTTTTTCTCACAGTTCCGAGTTCATATCTTGTACGTCTATGTCTCGCAATTCTGATTTTTCCCCCCTGAGTTTTATTTTGAGTGTACATCTCATATTTCTAACTTTTTTTCCTCTGAATTCTGAGTTCGTATCTCGCAATTTTGCCTTTTTTCCCCCCTCATATTTTTTGGCTTAAATTGCTTTTAAGGGGCACAACATTTTGTGAATGAAAGGATCTGTCTGGAACAACTGACAATTCTGAGAAACAAATGTCAGATTTGTGAGATGTCGACTTGGAATTGTGAGAAATAAAGTCAGTATTATGAGATAAAACGTCACAATTGCTGCTTCTTTTTTTATTTTTTTTTTATTCATTCATTCCATGGTGGAACAAACAAACAAATGTACAACACAACATTACTTGCAACTTTGTGACAATCAAGGGTTCCTGTCTAGAATGTTAGTCCCAAAGTCTCTAGTCCCAAAGTTGTACTAAATATAAGATATATAACAAATCATTGGATGAAATATGATAAAATGACTAAACTTACGAAAACACATTCTTCTCCTGTAGTTCAATCAACGGAAGCCAAAAACAAATTTGTCAGCTACGAATCATATGAGCTGGGTCGCAAACCAGGAATGGCCACTTGCACAAGCTGCCAACAGCAGGTCTTAACCAATGTCACCTACAAAGTGGGAGTTTACGCCTGGTTGATGTGCTTGCTCTTCATCCTGTGCGGGTATGAGCCCATTTGAATTCGCAGCTAAAAATATCAAATCTTGTGTACATTATCAAAGCCAAACTGACTGTCTTCCTCATTTCCAGGTTTATTTTATGCTGCTGTCTGATTCCGTTCTTCATGAAGTTTTTCAAAGACGTCTATCACACATGCCCAAAATGCAGTAAGATCCTGCACATTGAAAAGAAGCAATGCTGCTAACCCCATCCCATCCCATCCCCAATTTTAACACCACTCATGGATTTGTGTGGCACCTTACACTATATGAAGGACTGGAGGACACTTTCAGGCCAATACAGACGTCACCTAGTATAAACTAAAGCTTTGTGATCTTTGAGAACCTTTTGGTGTTCATCTGGCTTAGGCTTCGTTGATTATATAATACATTACATTATTACATTATCAAATGAATGTGAATAGTCTACGCATTGTTTTGATTGTATATCTATAAAGGACTCATGGTTAAGGGTTCAGAGGGCTGAGAAGTTTGTGGAACCATAAATTACATGATGTAAATAGCAGTAATTTGGGCATCAACTGCACCATTTAAAACGGTTGTTCTCAACCACGGAGCCTCAGCAAACTACAAATGGGCTTCAAGATGACTTAAAAGCTATGTAAATTAAGACAATGCAATAATTGAAATAAGTTAAAACTAAAAAGCAAGATTTTTCTTTTTAGTTTTCTTTGAAGAACCAGGGTTTCATAAAGTTTCTTGGTATTGATGTTTTCATGAAGAAACTTTAACATCCATGGCAACTTTCCAATGGATAAAAGGTTCTTTAGATTATTAAAATGAGAAAATATAAGTGTTTAAATGAAAGGTTCTTCCACGGCATCGACACGCACCAATCTGGAACTTTTTTTTTTTTTTTGTAAATGCACCGTCTTGAAAAGCCAGGATATACGAGGTATCTTCATTCGAAGGTGTAATGTCTAGAGCTTAAAATGTCGTGTAAATTAATAAACTCCATAAGAAATTTATAAAGGACAGACATTTTTAGAGTTATGTCAAGCTCCAATATATTTTATCGGGTACAACCTGTAGAAACATAAAAAAAAAAAAAAAAAAAAAAAAAAAAATCATTATCTTGTATATATTACAAACAACTGGAGGAAGAAAAAAAAAAAAAAAGTCATGGGGTCTTTGAATACTGTTGTGTGCAACGGGAGTCAAAAAGGTTGAGAACAAACAATTCAGAACCCACAAGATCTCTTAAAAACACCGGAAATCATACTTCCAAAATTCACTTTTTGAATTACCGTACTGCTAAAGCCAACTTGTTGTTTAGCAATTTATCACTTCGGTAAAAAGTCTGAATCTTCTATAATGTTAAATATGTCACATGTTCATCTAAATGGAACTGTCTTAAATGTAATGATATAAAACTGCAATGTGTCTGTGCAATACCTCAATGAGAACTCTGCATGTGCCGTTTATACACACTGAAATCTTCACATTACGTGACACTAGCACAGCATGACAATCTGAACACCATGTTGAGTCAAATCTTCAAGGGCCATGGCTGTAGCTTTTATAGAAAATTTTATTCAACATACATTTTCCAGCAAAAAGGCAATATACAGGAAGAGTTGTCGTACACTGCTGCTACACGGAGGAATTAGACTGGAGAGGAAAAAAAAAAAGAAAGAAAGATGTGATCTGCAGGTTTTCTTTGTACTGCACTTAAACGAGACAAACTGCTGCACTTAGTTAATGAAAAAAATAAAGACCAAATGAAACTGTCAGGATCCAAAAGAAAACTACACACAATGAATATGAACATCTGAATGGATCTGTACCCAACAAATCGGTGCTTTTAATTTTACATGTTCATTCTTTAAATATACAATTTTAATTGTTTTTACAAAGCCAACTATGCACTAGGGAGCATTTCTTCTGTGCTTAAAGAGAAAAAATGGTATTGGTTCATTAATGCTGGTTGTCTAAGTCCCAAACCAGTCTTCTATACGTCTGCAACCTCGTGCCAACAAACAGTACAACGGAATCTGGAGAGGTCAGCAAGCGACCCCTCCCTCCCCATCAGAATAATCCCATAGCCGGTGACAGAGGAGCTAAAGACTGGGGATAACCAAAAAAAAAAAAAAAAAATTTATGGGGAGAGGGGAAAGGGGCAGAAACCCAAAGGGATATGCAAATCAAACTCCAACCAAGATTACATTTAACAGTGCTGAGAAATGTAAAACCTTGGACATTAAGTGCCAACGTGCAAGATGAAGTACAGACAATTTATTTCATTTTCATTTATTTTAAAACGGATCTTTATGGGGAGAGGGGAAAGGGGCAGAAACCCAAAGGGATATGCAAATCAAACTCCAACCAAGATTACATTTAACAGTGCTGAGAAATGTAAAACCTTGGACATTAAGTGCCAACGTGCAAGATGAAGTACAGACAATTTATTTCATTTTCATTTATTTTAAAACGGATGATGTGGCTCTTTACTTTATACAGGATTTCCAGAGAAGACAAACTGAATTTCTCTAACCAAACTAAGTGAGAAAGAAGAATCGTGTAAACATGAAAATTGACTAGTTGCAGTAAGGGACCAGAAAAGAGACAACCATGTCAGGGCAACTAGCAAAAGCCTCAGCCATTTGCGGTGATTTTTTTTTTTTGTTAAAGGATGGAGGAATCCTTTTAATCGTCTGCAAATGACAAAACTCCCCTTTCCATCGCCTCCACCTCACAATGCAGCAGCTTTCTTGCCGTTACAATAAAAAAAAAAAAAAAAAAAAAAAAAAAAAATTAAAAAAAAAAAAAAAAAAAAAAAAAAAAAAAAAAAAAAAAAAAAAAAATTGCGTTAAAAAAAAAAAAAAAAAAAAAAAAAAAAAACGAACTTAAAAAGAAAAACAAACAAATAAAAAAAACAACAAAGAATAAAAATCAAAACAAAAGTCTAGGACATACTGTTCCCCCTTTCTTGTTAAAATCCAATTCATTCTTCCAGACAAAGGCAGTCAATAGTTAGAGAAGCCAAATCGAACAGCCTCAAAAGGAAAACAGGAGCATCAGCAGTCACTCCATTAGCTGAAGACTTCATACATGGTGACTGTGTACCCAGACAGCAGGTGTTAAAAGTGGTGCACACAAGAGGTTTGGTTAAAGTCTTTAGTATGGTCGGTTAGAGTGGGGGCTTGTCAGTTGTGAATCTTGATCGCTTTTTCCAGATACGTGTAGCGACCTCTCTTTGGAGCTTTGTTGAAGTGGTCGAGCCCTAACCAAGGCCTCGGGTGCGACATGTTCCCTGAGAAAGGACAGCATACAGCCAAATTGGCACAAACGTAAACCCAATGTCTACTGATTGAGACTACAGAGGTCAAAGGAGCGTAACATACCTGGCTGTGGCTCAAAGTCTTTCAGATTCACCTCGTAGTCTTCCTCATTGATATACTGATGCCGGCCCATCATCACTATTGCAAACTTGAACTAAAAGAAAATGGAAAACATTTTATGAATGATCTGGGTGGAACTAAACTTAATCTGGACTACGATCTGCTAATTAGTGAGCAATGGTCATTTTAATTTTATGGATTCATTTAATTTGACCTAAAATATTGACTGAATTTGAAAATAATGTACACACATTGACTTCTCTATTTACTAATGTATATATATATATATAGGGGTGCAACGGTTCACACACTTCATGGTTCGGTGCGATACGACACAGTGGTGTCACGGTTCGGTACATTCGGTACGGGGGTAATTGGTTACGTCGCAATGTTGGAAAGATTTCTGTTTTAATCCATGAAGGCGAGCCAATGGATATCACACAAGCAATGTGCAAACTTTGTGCAAAAGTTATGCCGGTGAACGTCTTAATCTGAGTCAATTCACTATATGCAGAAAGTGAAAGTAAAAACGGAATGACGGAGTAATGAAGGAGCTTTCGGCATCTGATGCCACAAATTCTCTCAAGAGACAACGAGAGATGAATCTACTTCAACAAATGCTAATAACTGTATATAGATAACTGTTTTTTATTCCCTTAACATTTCTCACGTGGCCCGTACAAAGAGAGAGAGGGAAAAAAAAAGACTAGAAACGTATTTAGTGTTAAACAGGTTTTATTTATTTATTTATTTTTTTAAGTTGTCGTTTGAAACAGGCTAAAGCTTTTTATTCATGGATTTTTATTGATGACTGCAGAGTTAATATTTTAATTATAGGCCTGTAATTCATTGTTTAAAAAAAAAAAAAAATCTTATAGAGCAGGTATATATATATATATATATATATACACACACACATTTTAATTGAAGAGTAAATAGCCTAATCTTTTGTTATCCTCGCAGCATGTCAGTTATGCGGATATATTGCGGGGCAAATTAATTGTCATTTTAATCTAAAAATAAAAGTAAATTCACAATAATAATAATAGGTCTAATAAAAATAAGAATGTAACATGCCTACATTAATTGGAAATGCCAAATCCTTTTAATATTGTCAATAATTGATATTTTTTACAATATTTCTGGCTATCGTCGATACAAGTTCATCGTCTTTCAAAGCAACCCAGCACAGGGAGGTTATCATGGGTCTGTCCGCTATGCCACTGTTTGCCTGTTACGTCATTTGGGCTTCATTGTTGAGCGCAGTGGCACTGAGAACAATATATTTCACACACTTTAAGCTCTTTTATTTTCCATATGCAATAGGGATTAGTCCAACGACTCTTTCGGTTTGTAATGCATACCGAACGGTTCAATACAAATACGTGTATCGTGACACCCCTAATATATATATATATATATACACATACACAATCTCACAGAAGTGTGTACACCCCTCATATTTTTGTAAATATTTTATTACATCTTTTCATGTGACAACACTGAAGAAATGACACTTGGCTACAATGTAAAGTAGTGAGTGTACAGCTTTTATAACAGTGTAAATTTGCTGTCCCCTCAAAATAACTCAATACACAGCCATTAATGTCTAAACCGCTGGCCACAAAAGTGAGTACATCCCTAAGTGAAAATGTCCAAATTGAGCCCAATTAGCCATTTTCTCTCCCCGGTGTCATGTGACTCATTAGTGTTACAATGTCTCAGGTGTGAATGGGGAGCAGGTGTGTTAAATTTGGTGTTATCGCTCTCACTCTCTCATACTGGTCACTGGAAGTTCAACATGGCACCTCATGGCAAAGAACTTTTTGAGGATCTGAAAAAAAGAATTGTTCTACTACAAAAACTGAGCTGCAGCACGGTGGCCAAGACCATACAGCAGTTTAACAGGACAGGTTCCACTCTGTACAGGCCTCGCCATGGTCGACCAAAAAAGTTGAGTGCACGTGCTCGGCGTCATATCCAGAGGTTGTGTTCGGAAAACAGACGTAGGAGTGCAGCCAGCATTGCTGCAGAGGTTGAAGGGGTGTGGGGTCAGCCTGTCAGTGCTCAGACCATATGTCGCACACTGCATCAAATTGGTCTGCATGGCTGTCATCCCAGAAGGAAGCCTCTTCTACAGATGATGCACAAGAAAGCCCGCAAACAGTTTGCTGAAGACAAGCAGACTAAGAACATGGATTACTGGAACCATGCCCTGTGGTCTGATGAGACCACGATAAACTTATTTCGTTCAGATAGTGTCAAGCGTGTGTGGCGGCTACCAGGTGATGAGCACAAAGACAAGTGTGTCTTGCCTACAGTCAAGCATGGTGGTGGGAGTGTCATGGTCTGGGGCTGCATACACACACATTTTAATTGAAGAGTAAATAGCCTAATCTTTTGTTATCCTCGCAGCATGTCAGTTATGCGGATATATTGCGGGGCAAATTAATTGTCATTTTAATCTAAAAATAAAGGTAAATTCACAATAATAATAATAATAGGTCTAATAAAAATAAGAATGTAACATGCCTACATTAATTGGAAATGCCAAATCCTTTTAATATTGTCAATAATTGATATTTTTTACAATATTTCTGGCTATCGTCGATACAAGTTCATCGTCTTTCAAAGCAACCCAGCACAGGGAGGTTATCATGGGTCTGTCCGCTATGCCACTGTTTGCCTGTTACGTCATTTGGGCTTCATTGTTGAGCGCAGTGGCACTGAGAACAATATATTTCACACACTTTAAGCTCTTTTATTTTCCATATGCAATAGGGATTAGTCCAACGACTCTTTCGGTTTGTAATGCATACCGAACGGTTCAATACAAATACGTGTATCGTGACACCCCTAATATATATATATATATATATACAGAGGGTATGGAAAGTATTCAGACCCCCTCATAATTTTCACTCTTTGTTATATTGCAGCCATTTGCTAAAATCATTTAAGTTAATTTTTTTTTCCTCATTAATGTACACACAGCACCCCATATTGACAGAAAAACACAGAATTGTTGACATTTTTGCAGATTTATTAAAAAAGAAAAACTGAAATATCACATGGACCTAAGTATTCAGACCCTTTGCTCAGTATTTAGTAGAAGCACCCTTTTGATCTAATACAGCCATGAGTCTTTTTGGGAAAGATGCAACAAGTTTTTCAGAGAGAGAGGGAAAAAAAAAGACTAGAAACGTATTTAGTGTTAAACAGGTTTTATTTATTTATTTATTTTTTTAAGTTGTCGTTTGAAACAGGCTAAAGCTTTTTATTCATGGATTTTTATTGATGACTGCAGAGTTAATATTTTAATTATAGGCCTGTAATTCATTGTTTAAAAAAAAAAAAAAATCTTATAGAGCAGGTATATATATATATATATATATATATATACACACACACATTTTAATTGAAGAGTAAATAGCCTAATCTTTTGTTATCCTCGCAGCATGTCAGTTATGCGGATATATTGCGGGGCAAATTAATTGTCATTTTAATCTAAAAATAAAAGTAAATTCACAATAATAATAATAGGTCTAATAAAAATAAGAATGTAACATGCCTACATTAATTGGAAATGCCAAATCCTTTTAATATTGTCAATAATTGATATTTTTGACAATATTTCTGGCTATCGTCGATACAAGTTCATCGTCTTTCAAAGCAACCCAGCACAGGGAGGTTATCATGGGTCTGTCCGCTATGCCACTGTTTGCCTGTTACGTCATTTGGGCTTCATTGTTGAGCGCAGTGGCACTGAGAACAATATATTTCACACACTTTAAGCTCTTTTATTTTCCATATGCAATAGGGATTAGTCCAACGACTCTTTCGGTTTGTAATGCATACCGAACGGTTCAATACAAATACGTGTATCGTGACACCCCTAATATATATATATATATATACACATACACAATCTCACAGAAGTGTGTACACCCCTCATATTTTTGTAAATATTTTATTACATCTTTTCATGTGACAACACTGAAGAAATGACACTTGGCTACAATGTAAAGTAGTGAGTGTACAGCTTTTATAACAGTGTAAATTTGCTGTCCCCTCAAAATAACTCAATACACAGCCATTAATGTCTAAACCGCTGGCCACAAAAGTGAGTACATCCCTAAGTGAAAATGTCCAAATTGAGCCCAATTAGCCATTTTCTCTCCCCGGTGTCATGTGACTCATTAGTGTTACAATGTCTCAGGTGTGAATGGGGAGCAGGTGTGTTAAATTTGGTGTTATCGCTCTCACTCTCTCATACTGGTCACTGGAAGTTCAACATGGCACCTCATGGCAAAGAACTTTTTGAGGATCTGAAAAAAAGAATTGTTCTACTACAAAAACTGAGCTGCAGCACGGTGGCCAAGACCATACAGCAGTTTAACAGGACAGGTTCCACTCTGTACAGGCCTCGCCATGGTCGACCAAAAAAGTTGAGTGCACGTGCTCGGCGTCATATCCAGAGGTTGTGTTCGGAAAACAGACGTAGGAGTGCAGCCAGCATTGCTGCAGAGGTTGAAGGGGTGTGGGGTCAGCCTGTCAGTGCTCAGACCATATGTCGCACACTGCATCAAATTGGTCTGCATGGCTGTCATCCCAGAAGGAAGCCTTTTCTAAAGATGATGCACAAGAAAGCCCGCAAACAGTTTGCTGAAGACAAGCAGACTAAGGACATGGATTACTGGAACCATGTCCTGTGGTCTGATGAGACCAAGATAAAC